AGTATAATCTAATAAACATGTTATATGAATTGAGAAAAAATATTTTCTGTAATACATTGGTACTAAACTTATTTTATTAGGTATATTGGGTAGAATGAGTGAAAACTTTCTAGTTTTTAGTTTTTTATAGCTATTGCAAATGGCTACTTCGGTAGGTTTGTTGGTAAAGTGATGTTGGTTAAGAAAATATAGTTAAATTGTAGTCTTTATTTGGGTTATATGTTTTCTATTGAGTTGCAGAATAGAATATTAAAATTGAACAGTAGCAGCAGAAAATATGAGATGATTATACAATATTTTTGTTTTAAATTCGCGAAGAAGTTTTTTTAATGCAGAAGATGGTGTTCATAGTGAAAAAGTTATAAATGAGATTGTAGCAGGCTAAGTTGTAATATTGATATAGAATCAGTTATGTCAAACTGATTTATTTTATTATGATAATATAAGATTAGAAAATGATAATTTTTGTTTGTTTTAATCTATTTCAATTGAGTTTAATAGAACATTGCTTTTGTATTCATAGATAGAATAACAATAAATAATATAATTTAAGTTTTTTTATGGTCAAAGATTTATATATTAGGGCAATGCATTTGTATATTAATATAATTTTTTTATTTTAAGTTGTTATTTTACTAATATTTTTATTAAGTTTTATTAATAATATTAAAAAAAGAAATTACATTAAGCAATCAATAAAAAACAAAAATTAAGGATGAAAAAATTAAAAAAAATAATAAGAAAAGAAAAAAATGAATTGAAGAAAAATATAGTATTAACAATCATTTATTGTATTAAATTTATTTGTAAGATTTAGAGAGAGTGTATACTATCAAACATCTCTCATCTTCTAGATTACTAAAAATTTCTTCATAAACATTTTAGTTGTCTTAACTATCATTCAATGATTGGTTTGTAGCACTAATTTAAGTGTCAGCTACTGCATTTTAGATTCTAGATTCATAGCTGCTTTTGCATTTTCAGGTTCTAGGTTGTATTGGCTTTGGCGTTTTCAGGTCTTGGATAAGTATTGGCATATGCATTTTTATATTCTGGATTATTTAACATAGTTAATATAAGTATAACAAATTGTATGCTACTAAAAAAACATATAAATATTGTATTATTGGCAGGTTTTTACTTGGTTGTACTCAATTGACAATGTAAGTATCAAAGTAAGAATTTTTTATTTTAAATATGTGGTTTATTGTTTTAATCTTTTATTATATTAAAATAATCATTAATTGTTTATAATAAATATCTAAAGAGATAGTGATGTGATTATTGTTGTTAATACTTTACTAATTAAATAATAATATATTATTAAATACTTGCAAATATAAATAATAATATATGTATTATTTAATTGGTGAAGATAATTCATTTCATTGACAATTTGAGCATTATCTTGATTATTTTTTATCAAATTTTAGATTAATTTATTTTATTACCTTTATTAATATTATCTGCTACAATTCTTAACCTTTTTGCTCTTGAAGAATTTTCTTTTTAAACAGTTTCATTATAGGGTTTTTTATCTTTTCTGGATGTTTTGTTGAATAGGTTAAGTTTTTCTGCTAATTTTTTTAATTACTTCTTTCTAGTACTTCTGTTTTTTGACGAAAAAGCATCCTCATCAGATTTCAAAGACCCCTAGCTGGAATAACTCCACTCAATAATATTGCAAGCTATGTATACTGATTTTTTTAATGTCACTAATTCTTTGGCAACCAATATTATTAGTTGATGTTTTGTAGCTTCTGTAATGTTCATATAGTGACCTTTTAGAATATACTTATATAAAATTGATATAGTAGCTTAGGATGCTATTATGCTATCATTGGCATCACTTTTGAGGCGAAAGAAGGTTATTTTGCCTTCTGTGATACTGAAATTTTATACAGCAGCTGTAAAAATGCTAAATGCTGGTGATTTGAGAAGGTCAAATGCAGTTGAAAAGTCTTCTATCATTTGAATGTTGAGAGAGTGTTTTGCTCAATCATAATCTTAGATGATTTAAGATTAAAAAAAATAAAATTAAAAAATAAAAAATTTGTATATTTAGATATATATATTTATTTTTAATTGCCTTTTCTCTTTATAGTTATACTTTTGAAAAAGGTAACCTTTATTTGGATATATTTTATAAAAACAAAGTTCTTTGTAGTCAAAGGAGTGACTATAGAAAGTTCAGACTGTGAAAAGTTTAAGTAGTTTATTTATTAATTCAATTAAATGTTTTGTGAAAATATTATATCTAAACTAAATTTTTTATTTTTTATTTTATTTTATTTTTTTTTTTTTTAAAGAGTGAGACCTGATCTTAGTTTTTAATGATAACATTTTGTATTATTATTACAATTTAATATCAAGATATTTTTATATATTTTGAAATTAAGCTATCTAAAAACTTTCGACTAAGGCTAATTTACCTTCGGCCTAGGCTCTACTAAGAGAAGGCACCAAGATCTTACTCAGATTGCATTTGATATATTGTGTTGGAGATGCATTATGCATGTAACATTGTTTAGTCCATCTTATCCATTTATCTTGAGCTGTTTGCTGTGTATTGTAGTCTGTGTTTGTTTGTATATTTTGTAGGTTTATGTTTTGTGTAGGTTGTTGTTAGTATTTTGTTTTTGGTTATTACTTGTTGTTTGGGTTGTGATTTTGCAGTGTTCTTTCCATGTTCGATTGTAGATTGTTTTGCAGATTTTGTGAAGTAACTTAACTGTATTAGGTTTTGTTTTGTTTTTGGTAAGTATAATCGATTTTAAGTTTTGTTTATACACATCTGTAATAAGACCTTGAATTAAAGTTATAGTATTGCTGTTGACTGTAGAGTTAAAATTATTGAAAAATTTATTTATAAACTTTTGTTTATTACTATTTGTTGCTGTGTCTTTTTGATTTTTATTTATAAACTTTCTAACTATATTATTTATAAAGGTGTTTATATTAGTTGAGTTTATTGGACATATTAGCCAGTATATGTTTGTTTCATCTTCTATATTGCATATTTTGCATTGAGTTTTTGGATATATGTGTAGATTCTGTTTATTTAGATTTTGGAGGGTTAGTAGTTCATCCAGTAGGAGTTTTAGTTTGAAGACCTTTAGTTTAGAGTGGATTGGATGTGTTTGTTGAGATGTTGGTGTATCATTATAATTAATGAATGTATATGTTAATTTCTAATCGATGTTTTGTATGTTGATCCACTTTTTGGGTTCAATTTTGTGAGTACTATATGGCTAGATTTTTTGCATTTTGAATGTTTCTAATTAGTCTTCTTGTTTTTTGTATTGTTGTGTGGTTAAACCATGCAAGTGTATATGTTGTGTAGTCGACTTGTTGAAATTTTAGTATTATTTCTTGTGTGTTGGTATCGAAGGTTGTTTTGGCATGTAATTTTGTGAATGCTGGAGATTCGCTTGGTACTGATATTAGTTCTAGTTGAATATCTTTTCTTGCTGTGAGTGTGAAAATGTTGCACCAATATGGTTAGTGTTGGTTTTTTGTTATGATATTCTTCTTGTTGTATTTGATTGTATTGTATTGTTGATATATATTAATAATGTGAATTGTGGTTATAAGTATCTTTAGTGTTGTATTGATTGGTGTGATAGCTATTACAGTCTGGTGTTTTTCCAAATATGGTATTTCTAAATATAGTAATGATTTACATGATAAACTATAAATCGATGTTTTAGAATTTAATTACAATACTTAAAATTGATTGGCTATTTATAATATTAAGAATCACTATTATTATAGTAAACTTTGATATAATAATTTATATAAAACACTTCAACTTTAATAGTAAAGAATTTTTATAACACTGTCACTTCACTATAACGAAAGTAATAGTATTTTTATAATTAAAATATATAAACTGTTGTGTCAAAGTTGGTGTACCAGTTTTGAAAGTTAGGCAGCAATCTATACTCGGCTATTCAAATACGCAATATGCTACGTATATGTATTATATTAGGTAGATATAATAAAACAACTCTGGTGGTATAAATATAAGTTAGAAAATACAAGTTAGACTTTTATGATAATTCTTGCAATTTTAGTTACACTTCAAAGTTAACTTTAGAGGTAAATTTCAGTCAAGTGCAACTTCAGATGTCTGAAGTTGCAACTTTAGATAGTGTTAAATTTTATAAGTTATTTTAATATACTGTAGATATTTCAAGAGATTTCTGATAAAAAAAAAGCAAGTTTATAATAAAAATTAAAAACTGGGTTGGCAAAAAACCTTTAAAATTATATATGAAAATAATTAACTTTATATAGTCAAAAGTTGATATTAACTTGAAGTTGCAGTATCAGGTGTTTTGAAGTTACACTTAACTGAAATTAGCTTCTTAAAATTAAACATTTTCATTCTTGACATGTATTAGTAATTTTAGGCAAGTATAACTTCGGATGCTTTGAAATTGCAACTTTAAACAAGTGTTGATATCAGGAACAATAGTTATTATAATCTTTTAATAAATTATACAAGTCAAGAGATGATAAAATTGAGCCCTTGATTTTATAATCTAATATTTACTAAATTTAGCTCTTAATCATATGTAATTTTAAGCGAATCTAATAAATAATAAAGAGCAAATAAAGATTAAAAATTAAAAACTGCGAGTATAAAAATAATTATGTGATTTTGTTATATCTAAAGTTAATACTTACCCGAAGTTACAACTTCAGGCGTTTAAAGTTATACTAGTTAAGATATTATTATTCTTGAATATATTCATAATTTCAGACAAGCATAATTTCAAATATTTTGAAATTATAACTTTATATAGGTGTTAATTTCAGGTATAACATTGTTCTTATAATCAATTATACAAGTTAAGAAATAATGAAACCTTGGGCTTTCTTAATAATATCGATATATTATATACAGTATATCGTTGAATAAGTGAAATCTAATAAATAATAAATTTGAAAGCCCAAAGTTTTATTTTTTTCTTGACAGTTTTCATATTTAAATAATGAATAGTTAGTAAATTATAAATTATTATAAATTTTTTTTTTAAAAAAATTAATTGCTTATCGTTATATAATTATAATTTTAAGAAATACTGAAGACTCATCTTGTTTATTTGCTTCACTTGTTGAATCTTATCATCACACAAAACAATTAGTTGAGTGTGAAACTAAAAAAAAACAACGAATTCGAAATGCATCTACTGATCTTATTAAAAGTTGAATTCAATTATTTAGTTCTTATTTTCCTGAATTAAATAGCATTCAAAATAAGTTAGAAAAGTATATAATTTGCGAAAAACACTATAATCAAATTGTTGCAAAAGATTATTATTTAAATTACTTAAAGACTGGATTATCAGATTATCATCGAAAAAGAAGTCGTAATTCTAAAAATTTGGTAGATAATAATAATTCTATTTTAAATGAAGCACAAATCAAATCAAAAGTTGATATTGGAATTCAAGTAGCAATAGATAATGATCATGATCTTCTAGTACAAATAGATGCATTAAAAAATTCTTTAGCTAATATTGTAACTGATCATGCTGAGCAATTACAAGCTATTCAAATTAAAAATTGTAAAATTATTGAATTAGAACATGAATATGAATCTCTTAAAAATCAGATTGCTAATATTAATATTAAATTAAAAGATTTAAATTCATATCAAAATCAAGTTGAAATATTAAAAATGAGAAAAATATATTAGTAACTAAAAATATATATTTAAAAGAACAGTAGAATGAGTGATATAATACTTAACAAAAATGTGTAACAGAAATTGCTAAAATCGCTCTATTGGAACGAAAGCTTTTATATAATGATGTTACTTATTTAATTAATAATGATGATCGGTTTTCACTAGAAAATTTACTAGCATATAATCCATCTAATTGGCTTAAATATCGCAATCCTGTAGTAGTAAGATTTATTAAAATACTTACAGATAATAATGATGAACTAATGCATCAAAATAAAATTTTTAGGCAAATGGTTGCTATAGATGCAATTTATAAATCACAACATAGTAAATATGTTTCTGAAATAAATCTTGCTACGTCAGCAATTAAATATTCTATTGTCCACTCAAAGCTTATAATAGATATTGATAATCATATTACTAGCAGCGGAGGTTATACAAAGTTCATAAATTGGATTGAGAGTTTGGTGATTGAACCTAAACCTTTGCCTGATGGTTTTCTTATTTTAGCCTTTGACAATGAACAAAAAGGCCAAAAAAATTACTTAGACCAGGGGCATAATACAGTAATATATCATACATTAACTAGTTTTATAGCTTTTAACTTTAATCCAAATGATAATAGCCAATTAGAAATTGATCTATGGATATATAATTCATTAAGTAAAAATACTATTATGCAATTATTTAATTTAAATGACGATATGAAAAAAGAACTTGAAAAGGAACTTTATTATTTTATTAACAAAATAATAAATAATCAAAATATTGAAAAATCCAAAGAAGTAAATGAAATTAATAAGCTTATTGAACAGAATAATTCAACTAATAAAACAAAAAATGCTTAAAATGTTTTAAATTGGAGATTGATAATAAAAAATGAAATTGTCCTAATTGCAATACTAAATTGCCAATATTTACTTCAATAAATCAAATATCGCCAATTCAACAAACATTACAATCTGCAAATAAAGATAAACTGATAATATTCAAACATTATAGGCCAATAAGCTCTAGTATTAAACAACAAGAATCTAAAATTAGCATAAAACAAAAAACTGTAGCAAGTCAAAATATAAAAATTCCAGAATTATACATTCCAGATCCAATTCCCATTAATCCTAATTCTTTAACAAATATTTAAAAAGTCTTAAAGCACATCGAAATAATTGCTAGAATTAAATCTAGAAAATATAAATAGTTATCTGTTGTATGTGACAGCATACCATATAATCAAGCTCTAAAGTTAAAAAAAAGTTTTCCTTGGTTAATTTTACTTCCGGGTGCCCTACATGAAGAAATGAATATGATTAAAGCATTTGTCGAATTAAATTGATATAAATAATTTTAAATTTTATTAATATTATAAATTTACTTACATTTAACTTTTTAATTTAAGGAAAATAGATCTAAAAATATTTGCTCAATGCCAAGGATATCGAACAGATAATCAATTAGAGTATTTTCATAAATATACTGACCACCATAAATCCTAGGACTCAATATGTAATATATATCGTTACTCTATAGCATCAAAATTAATTTGGCCATATATATTGAGCCATAATAATCCAACTCCTGACGGATATTTAGAATGGGCTAAAAATCAAACAAATGAAATATATAAATTAAAATATGAACAGGTTAAATATGATTTTATTTTAATTTATAAAAAAATAAAAAAAAATAAAATATTTATATATATTATCATAGATTTTTACTTATCTTTAAGTCATTATTAATTTTCGAACTAGAGTTAGAATGAATCAATCTTTATTGCGAAATGCACTAGACATCAATTTGCACCAATTTGGTCTGCTAGATGCTATCTGATTTATAGGTTGATAGAAGTATCATATAAGGAAAATTTATTATCTTTAAAACCACATATTCGTGAAATTATTGAAAATGTTTCAGTAGTATCTTATTCTGAACTTCATAATCAGTATCAAGGTTTTGATGCTGTGATAGAGAAAATTAATAAAGCATTAAATTCTCTGATTCCTCCAGTACCATCACAACGCCATTGGGAGATTGCTGCAAGGAATTATACAAATTTTACAAAGGTAATTAGATAAATATAAATTGTATACAAATCTGCTTACTTCATAGTTCAATTTTTTAAATAAATTATCTAACTTGAGAATTAATATATAATATTAATATGTGTATTGATAGAATTATATTATATATTTTCAAGCTAAGTAATTTATTTAAAATTTTAAATCAAGTAATATAATTTAAGTCAGATTCTAAATTAAGCAGATTTTAATGATGTATATAACAGATAATACCAGGGTGACCTTTCTAAAGTTCAGGATAATAGTTAATGTTACTGCTATGATTGCTATATCATATAGTTATAGTAGAGGCTTATTCAATAATAAATTTATGAAGTACGTATTATTTCATAAACAATTATTTTATAGACATCTTATTAATAGACAATTAATTCAAAAGACAAGCTTGTTTTAAAGACATTTAATCTACAACAGTTTATTTCATAGACAGTTTATCTTACAGATATTTTATTTCATATACCTAAAGTCGACCAGTAGATTGAGTTATTTTTTGTCAAGGATTGTCTATGAAATAAACTGTCTATAAAATAAAAGCTGTCTGTAAATTAATTGTCTTTAAAATAAGCTTGTTTTTGAATTAATTATCTGTGAAAAAAAATGTCTGTAAATAATTGTTTATGAAATGATATATATCTGAATTGGTGCTATGATTCATATAGTATGCTATGACAGTAATGTTAATAATTAACCTAAAATTTGAAGACCACCCTATTGTCATTTACAGAACATATATATTATTAGTATTAAATTAATTTTAATACAATATTAAAAACAATTTAGCTATGTACCAACCTGCTTAGTGTTATTGAATATGAAGATAATGAAAATTCAGAATTAAGAACTCAACCTGATCCTTATATAGAGCAACAACGCTTTTATGCATATTTAAGGAAAAAACAGTTCTTAAATCCAGAAAAAATAAATAACACAATAACTAACTTGGATGGTGATGTTAATCTAAGTGAAGAGATAAAATTATTTAGTATACTAGCACAAGAAAGAAGACAAAAGTTTATTAGAAATATCTTGCTGCAACAAACAGGCACTGATATTTGGCATCCAATTCTAGTAACAAAGCAGGAAGCTGATGCATTGAAAAATGAAAATGCAATAAGAAAAGAAGAACTTATTGCAATTATCAATTCGATACTTATCTCAATTCCTGAATCGCAACACCCAAAGTATACTAATTTAAAAAATATGACAAAAGCTACGTTACTAACTATCTTATAGGAAATGCGAAATTTAAATAACACTAAAGAAATTGTAGATTAAGAAAGTATAATTAGTGAGTTGACTGATGAAGAAATAGTATAAAGTGCTTAAACCGATCACATATAATATAGAAGAAATAGTATAAAGAGTTTAATCAATTACATATAATATATAGTTTTAAAGTAATAAATTTTATTATCTTAATAATTGGTGTTACATTCTAATACATTAATTGTTCTTACTCTTTGTGTTACTAAAACTGGCTGCTAAAAGTATGCTAGTTCATGGTCTTTTGGTTAATACTTGACCTAATTTAAACAAAACTATAACTAGATTAGCACGAATAAAATATAAGAGAAAGCAAATAAAGTTAGAACCAACTATTAAAATTTAACTAATCACCTATTTTTTGAATATGCACAACTTAGACCTGTATGTAAATTCAGTAATAACTTCAGTGAATTCTAAATCTTCAGTATTTGCTGTAAATATATCTTTTTCAATTTAACCAAACTTTGCTGCTTTGTCATTTGAAAAAAAAATCATGTGGATTAGATCAAAATAGCCAATCAAAATCATTTTTATGGATGATCGATGATTGTTTAAATTCTAGAACAAATATGTGATGTCGATTCAAATTTAGAAATGTTTCAGACTGTATTAGCATTAGGATTGCTGTTAATATTGCAGTAGTTTTTGATAACCAATTTGTAATTTTGTTAGTTAGTTTAATATTAGTTTGAAAAATTTTACAGATAAATCTATATATGGTTGTCCATTATTCGTACCTTTATATGTTGTTATTATTGTATTTGTTTCTTTGTACATGATAATATCTTTTGCTATTTTTATTAGTATTGTATTGATTGTGGTCTTTGAGAACATACTATTGTATATTTGTAATGTCTTTAGTAGTTTTTTAGATGTTTGGCTAGTTAAGATATGTTGTTTATTCGATGGTGAGGTGTTTTGTTGTCATGTACATTGTAGTGCTTTTTGTATTTCTTTTGCATTGATTTATATATGTTTGCTGTGGCTCACTTGTATTATACTATAGTTTTTTGAATTTATTTGTATAGCACACTTGCCGTGGTGTATTGTGATTGTTAGTTTGCATTAGTTGCATTGTGTAAGTTGTTGTGGTTGTTGTCTGTCTTTTTTGTATATTCAGTGTGTTAGTTTTTTTTATAGTTAAGGTTAGCCTCTTTGGCTTTCCGCTTTTATTAGATATTAGGATCATATGATGCCATTTTCAAGGGGCCTCAGACAAATACATTCTGACAAGGATACATTCTAGCCATACCTGCATCTTTTGAGCGCCTTATTAAGTATCTACCTATTACTAGATTCTACACTAGATGCTATACCTATAACCCACTATTACTTGAGTTACTCAATTAAACTCTTTGATCCAAATTTCTCTGCCAATCCATCTAATCTCACCCGGAACATGGATACATAAGTTAGTCCAAGTTCCAAGATCATCATGTGCCACCTATAGGACTACTGGCATAGTTAACTGATTCATCCTCGAGTGCATCACCTGCTAGAGCAGTCCAGTCCCACTATAGCATATTACCTAGTCTACTTTGGTAACTTACGCCTAGGCTAAGACCAAGTACTTACGAGCCAAAGCCACTACTGTTACCTACTATACCCTTATAGAGTTCAACCAGACCCCAGCACCTACTATACAGACTATCTGCCGTATACCCATTGCCCCAAACTTCCAATACAAATGGCCTGGAAGGGCTGTAATCTGCCTCTGGTCCCCACGGTTGTGTCCTTTTTCCTCCAGTACTCTCCGGCGGTATGGTTGGTAGAGTCCCTTGCCAAACACTTCGGTCCCATTCAGTACTCCAGTTTCTGATTGATAATTCTTTACATAGTACTGTCAAAGATCTGTGCTACCTCTCTACTCAGGTCTTGCTAAGCAGGCTTTCATGTGCACCAACCTCAGATTTACATAACTGCTTCACTTGGGTTTTGTGTAATTCGTACATTACACTATTGTTCTACAGTCTTCCAGTACAAGCTGGTATAATCTAGTTACAGATGTTGATCTGCCCTTACACTCACAGTTGCCGTAACACTGTACTAAGAATTCGAATTTTCGTCGCTAGTAGGATTCGAACTCTGTTCTTGCCACTTGGGGGTGTGACAACTTTACTACTTCACTAAGTTGCCACAACTTCAGTGTGTTAGTTTTATGTTGTTATAGTTATATATTGTTGTTGTTTTTCCAATTATAATTTGTTTTTTATCTGCGTCATTATCTATTTGTTTTTAGTTATTTCTGCTTTGTTGATTGTATATGGATTTGGTGTTTGTAGTATTAGCTGGTTTGTTTGCTGGATTTGTATATCAATTATTGTAGTAATTGTTTTGAACTATGCTGGTTCTCTGCCTGTTGGTATTTTGTATGTTGCATGTAATATTTCTTTCTAATTAATTGTTTGTGTGTTCTTTAAGTTTGTTAGCTGTTTGATAAAATTGATTTTGTGCTGGTTAAGTTTAGCCTTGAGTTGTGAACGTTGATTTTGTTACATGTAATGATGGGTTTGTAAGTATCTTGTTTATACTGTTTCCTTTGTTTAAGAAAAGCTTAGGCTAATTGCTAATATTGTTTATTATTGTGAAGTAGTTGTTATATATTATTTAGATTCTTTTGGCTGTAGTTGTGTTATGTTCTATTGTGGGAAGTATATATAATGAGTCAGCCAGTATTGATGTATTTGTATTCGCTGCATTTTGTATATGTTGTATGCATATATATAGTGATGAGTTGCATAGGTCTGGATCATTTATTTGTTGTATTATTTTGCTTATATAATGTTGACATTGTATATTCTATAGTATTCTAAGTGCGTATATTCTGTGGTTTAAAATGTAGAGTTGGGTATAGCTCTGGACATCTCAGCTTTATGTTTAGTAATTGAGATATATTTGTTTGTAAGTTTGTTACATTGTGATTGGGTGTATATATAATTTTGTGTTCTATATTCGATGCATATTATAATAACTGTATTGATTATGTATATCACTGTTTCTTTGTAATTGTTAATTTTTGAAGTAGCTTTAGAGCTTCCTCATTTCTTTTGTTATATTTTGTTGTATTTTGTTTTATTGGTATGGATGTTGTAATAACATTAAAGGAATCAGAAGCAGTGTTTGGATGATATTGAGTGCATATTGGTGTTATTAAATATAATGTATATGGGTTCATCTTTAACCTTTGGTTTGTAATTAGTAGCTAGTATTGATTTATGTGGGTTGACTGTGATTTCTGTCATTTTGTAGAAGAAGTTAGCTGAATTGATGAGTGTTTATAGGATTGGTTTGTTTTTTGCTATCCATAAGGCTATACCAATTTGATTTTCTGTTTAATATAACCCCCTCCTCTTTTTAAAAATTTATATAGTATAAATAATACACATTATATAATTATAATAACCAATAAAAATCTGTTATTTTGGTCATGTGATATTTATATATAAATTAAAGAAAAAAATAATATTGTTAAAATAATATAGTTAAAGCTAGTTTTTTCAAAATGTAGTTAAGAGCTTTAAGCAAAATCTATTAAAGATTCTATTTAAAACTTATTTAAAATTTTCATTGCATCACACTTTCTTTTGTTCAGCATATCTTTTCATAATATTGTTACACATGCATATAAGGTAATATAGCCTTTATTACATCATGTTGAATGGTATGATTTGAATGCCACTCAAACTATCATTTGAACTACGTACACACTATCATATGATTTCATGGACATGCATATCTGCGAAGTTATGTAATAGTGCTGAATGGCAGCTCAAATGGTAATTTGAGTGGCATTAATTCAACATGGTGAATTCTTTAAATTATACCAGTATTAGAAAATACGAATTTATTTTAAGACTTATATACTTTATAGTTAGAGCGATAAAAAATATAAAAATAATTTATTGCAGTCAAATACAAGAATTATTATTAAAAGAAATATTAATCGATTCAACCTGATTGTATTAGAATTGACTCTAAATTAACTATATCAAACTCACATTAACTTCTCACTGATTACACATTTTTTATGCATCGTAAGCTTATATCTCATT